TTTAAAGAAAATAAGACAAACTGGTTTAAGTTTCTATAGGATAATCCTATAGTACATTTAAATTGACCAAAAGCTTGGTAATTTCATTTCACATATGAAATGGACCAAGAAAAAAAGTTTAGGATTAATTCCTGGTGGGAAAGTTTGCATGACATCATCCTAAAATATATTTTGCCTGCCTAGGGGAAAAAAAGCAACTAAAGGAAAAAAAAAAAAAAAGTAAGGTCAATTAAATAAACCTAGGATGTAGGCAATAAACTTGATACTCTAGAAATTTTCAAATCTTTGTTTTAAGGGACTGCCACTGTGCTTAAATTCAATGTAATCATTATTATATAATTCAGTTGAATGTTTTCATTCATGTTTACTAACAATTTTAATGTTATTATGGAAAACTTTTAAATTATTGATTTTTTCCTAAGTGTTTCAGAGTTGTTTAAGTCTATTACTGGTAAGACATTAAAATTATTATAATATTCTACTCAGTTTCATTAAGAAAGTATTAAACATCTGGATGACTGAGAAGACTAACCATCTAAATTTTAAGAGGATGATGATAAGACTGATGCAAGTGAAAATGAATAGTATAGTTTACATATAGATTGGTTATCCAATTTGGTAGCCTGTAGCCATGTATAACTACTGACAATGTAAAAAGTGGCTAGTTTGAATAAGGAATTAAATTTGAAATTTTATTTAAATTTTAGCATTAATAATTTAGATATTAAAAACTCTGAAACAACTTGGATATGTGACTCCAATTTTTCAAATGTAAATTTTACAAATTCAATAGAGACCAAGTATTTCTCATAAAAATTTAGTATTTGAATGGAGTCATATTATAAGTATAAAATACTTCACATATATTACTTGCATTGTAATTTTTATTTATTTTAATTTTTTATTTGTTCTAATTAGTTATACATGACAGTAGAATGCATTTTGACACATATATAAATGGAATATAACTCCTCATTCTTCTGGTTGCACATTATATGAATTACATATACATGACCACTTCTACTGGAAAATACTAATACAGATTTAAAAAAAAAAAAAGGCCTACAAAATGTTCTATTGCTATAGCTCTTGGGTCTAAGAAGACATCACTGTTAAATGCTTGTGTAAAAATGATTTAACTCAGAAACTTCTGTTTTGAAGAAGTATAACTGGTCTAATAACCAAAAAAACAGCTAGAATTACCTTTTTGTCTTCCCATTCTTTGACGGTATTCTGCCCATTTGCAAATTGCAACACACCTCCAGTGCCAGCAGATAACAGTGGAGGTTGGACTTTGCTAAGAATCTTTGAGCACAGCCTGAGAGAATCTGTGAGCTCAGGTAAGCGCAATGTTTGGAGGTGGCTTGTCAGGGCAGAAATCATCCTGAGCAGCAACTGGGGCAAGTGTTCTGTCTGGATTTCAATATAAGTCTCCTGGGGAAAAAAGTAAAATAAGAAATAATTAAACAATTTATAACTTCAAAATCATACTATTTTTCAATCTATACAAATTCAGCAATAATTTTACTCATTTTACAGATATCATGCTCTTAATTAACACTGTATAGTTAATTTATTATTGATGACATAAAATTTCTATCCCCAAATTCTCAATTTAAGTATTTCAAAGCATATATTATAAAATAACCCCAGTTTTATCTGCTATATTATTGAACTTATAACAAAAGTGAATAGAATCAGTTAAAAACAAAACAGGCTGAATGTCATACCTGACACAGCACCCTCATACTTCTAGTAGGCTTCAAAATGAGAAAGCAAAAAATTGAGGAGAGAAAACATAAGGGGAAAAGATTTCCAACAGTCTTCATTTAATAGAAAGAACCATTAATGAATACAAATGCAGCATTACATTACCACATACTGAACAGTTAAGATTTTATAACATGCAGTTAGAAAGTATATTCCATGTATTTTATATACATATATACACATCAGAGGACAAAATACTTGACAATTTTATGAAAAAAACTATATACAAGGGAAGAAAATCAATTTAATTTTAAAGATAAAATTTATTTGAGGCTGGAGAAATAGCTCAGTGGTAGAGCATGTGCCTAGCATACATTAGGTCCTGGGTTAAACTCAGCACCATAAAGAAGAAAAAAAAATGATGAGATTTATTTGAAGATGAGATTTTATCTCCAACATGAAATATCTGGACTATGTTTTTAGATTTCCTTGATATCTTGTTACCAAGGTGGTCTTACCAAAGAAACTATATCCAACAAAAAATCCACCAGTAAGCAGAAATTGGTCAGTTGTAACTCAGATGACTCACTACTATCTCCAGGCCCAATCTGAAGTCTGGCGTGCAGTGTCCTCCTAAAAGGACAAAATTCACTTTATCAAGTGTAGTATTAAGTGATATAATACATGGACAATATCAATGTCTTTCTAATGAGGGCCAAGTCAAAAATGGGTCATGCATGGTAATTGTAATGTTCTGGTTATGACATATTCTCTTTTCCCTTTTACAGGACATTACTGTACCTCTGTGGAGAATTCTCAAAGCAAGATTCCTAGTCCTAACTGAAACTCCTATCCTGTACTTTCCAGTATTCTGGATGGATCTTACTTTTGGGAACTTATTTACCATTGCCCCCACTATAGACATCATCTCCTAGTTAAAAATGAATTATTTGCTAGTTGATGTCTAAATTAGGGCCTTTGTTTAAACCATTTTGTCCTCCTGGACTACTATCCTCCCCAACTTCGTTCTCTCACATCTAGAGTGTATCTATCTTTTCAGGTCTGAGAATAGATGTTACCACTTCCAGGAAGTCTCTTCTTATCCAAGTAGTAGAGATCATTCCTCCAACAAACATTCATATTAAATGATATTAATCCTATATTACCATACATTGCCCTATACTCCAAAGATACAAAGAATATGATATAGTCCCTGAGCAGTAAGAAATATAAGCACACAGACAAATGACTACGTCAACATTGCGGGAGTAGTTGATTCTGATGGGTGATGTGAGGCAGTCAAGGAAGGCTATTGAAAGGTAGGTGACTTCTGTGTAGGACTTTAGCAATGGGTGAAGAGGGCAGAATATTTATAAAGAATAGCAAAAAAAATTCAGCTTCATAAAAGGTAATGTGCGTTCAGTGAGTAGTTCATGTTAGCTCAAGATGCATGGATATGTGTCTGTTAGCTCAAGATGCATGGATATGTGTCTGTGAACACAGAAATAAACAGAAGGGTGGATGTATGTTTGTGAACATAGAAGGTAAAAACCTAGGGTAAGGTCAGGTGATAAAAATATATTCATAATTCCCTGCATTTCTATATTTTAATCTGAGGCATTTAAAAATTTTAATTTAATACTAGGAATATACATGTGCATTTCTTATTTGACCCATAATAAGATCTTTAAAGGAGGATTATCTATATGCCTACTACAATGCTTTTCACTGGGTGTTCAACTCTGCCAAATGTGAAAGCAAACAACCTTAGAAGTCATTAAAGAAATTCACAAATAACAGTAACATTTATATCTTGAAAGACTCTTAAACCAAAGATTATATATGTTTACTTTCTGACTATGTGCTCCCTGAGGCTTGAGAGGTTAATCTGGTTTTGAGAGGATTTAAACTAGAATCCAGTTAGATTTTACTCTGGTTTGTTAGCATTCTAAAATTTTCAAACCATTTTTTTTTTTTTTTTTAGGTTTTATATCCTAAGAGGTATTGCTTACCATGGACAATATGGGCTAATCCTATAGCTTTAAAAACACAGAAATGACCAAGGGAGTTTTAATCAAAGTGTGCTTCAGCACACTTTCCCAACAGCATACCTGCTATCCTCTCTCTGACAAACAAAAGCTGGATTACTTACTACAGGCTAGAGAGGTAAAATCTTTCATCTATACTGATAAATGACTATCTCATCTTTAAGCTGCTTTCTAATTCTAAGATTATATGATCAATGATTTTTATATCCTAGAGTGACACGGTAGAGCCAGATTATGGCTAGTACATAATTAATAGTTTTCAGTAATAGAATGTATAAAAGAACATTATTATCATTAGATTGAACAATTAAAAAATCAAATGTTGGCATTGGATGTTATTAAATAGTTTAACATACCTACAACATTCTTCAAACCAACGAGCAATGTAATCCCACATATAATAAGGTTCAAAGGAATTAAAGAGAAGGTTGGCAGTTTTAATCAGCTCTGCTGTTTTCTTGTTTTCCCTTAATTTACTAAAGAAAAGAGAAGAAACAAAAACTAAAAAATATTAATATTTGTTTTTCAAATTTAAATTTGAGTGCAATATTATTAGGGCACACATATTCCTAGGTAGCTACTAGAAAATGTGCTAGTAAAAAGATTGCAACAAATCATTTTTATCTATTACTACTCCTGTTACTTTCTATGTAATTATTTTTCACACTTTGAGTTTTCATAATTCAAATGTATGATCAAGATCAGAAATTAGCCTTGCATAATTCTCTGCATAATAAAAACTACAAAAGAACAGGAAATTCTTTTAAAACTTTTTAAGTGCATAACTGTTAACTTTGCACCAAACTTTGGCACATCAGTAGTAATTTGATTTTAACAGCCTTGATTCTGAAGAACTTTGCCTTCTTTCCTATGCTATTTAGGAATTTCTTTTTTTAGTTAGTTAATTTATTTTAATTAGGTATATGTAAAAACAGAATGCATTTTGAATCACTGTACACAACAGCAGCACAACTTTTCATTTCTCTGGTTGTACACAATGTAGTGTAACATCATATATGCAGTCATACATGTACCTAGGGTAATGATTTCCATCTCATTCCACCATCTTTCAGGAAAGAAAGGGTAAGTTTATTTGGATCAGTTTCACCATTATTATTATTATTACCTTGAAAACTAAGAACAAATAGGACTACTATCATAAAAAGCCATTATTATGGAAATTTAATGAAGGAAAAATCATTTTGTTATTTCAAATGGCTACCCTTAGCCCTTCAGACTATTACTTATCTATTTTTCTCCTGCAATAGCAATAAAAACAATTTAATATTTTAACCCTTTATAACAATTAAAAAAATTGTTTTTATAGAGTGAGATACTGTAAATACAACTAGTAGGTGACAGCAGAAAAGACTAAAACTATATTGGGCACGATCAATTCTCAGGCAGAGTATGGAATATAGTGCTAGGTTCATCATTAACTTTTCTAACTAAAATAAAGGTTATTGCAAGGTGCATGCCTATAATCCTAGTGGCTTGGAAGGCTGAGACAGGAGGATCACGAGTTCAAAGCCACCCTCAGCAACAGTGAGGCACTAAGCAACTCAGTGAGACCCTGTCTGTAAATAAAATACAAAATAGGGCTGGAGATGTGGTGCAGTGGTCAAGTTCCCCTTAGTTCAATACCAGTACAAAAAAAAAACAATTAAAAAATACAGGGTTTTATAACATCAGAAATAAAAAACTGTCTTAAAATGCTCTTATATGCAAATAAAAGTATGCTTTAGGAAAGTCTAGGGTATCTCTTAACACAAAGGAGATAACAATGAAATGCAAATTAAATAATGTATAGCCTTAGAATTTTTGTCATATTATAATGACAGATGTTACTAGAAAAGAAGTAGTTTGTTCAAGCAGAGAAGAAAAAGAATATCAGCATGTATTCTGTTACTGTCTTTGGGAACAGGATGTACAAATATTATATTATTTGTCCCAGGCATTAAAAAATATGTATTTACCTGAAAGAAGAAATAAACTTAAAATAAGTGAATATCCAGTGGCTTTTTATTCCATCTTCCTCTTTTTGTGATCGTATAATCTCGGCCCTGAGTATGTCAGGTCACCAAGAGGCACTACCTTACACAAACAACCAGGACTGGTTACCAAGCAAGATACAACTTCCTTTATTAACTGACATGTGGCACTGTCCTGTGCATCTGGTAAATGTAATCTCTTGGAGCCAATATATGTTCATTAACTGCCTAAATCTAATTTTCTAAACTGGTGTGATTAAAAGCAAACTCTGGAATGTGGTGGTTGTACTGTCATGCTTAAAGTTCTGCTTGAATAATGAGGCCAGTTAATTAGGATACTTTATACTACTAAAATATAGTGATATTTTAAACTTCATTTTACTCATCAAACATAAAGTTCCACCAGTTATTACTAGTACTTCAAGTTACATTGACTGAGTAGTGTCTACTTTATCAATGTTAATAAGTGAGGGTATTTTTATGTCATGCTGAATTTTTTAGTAATCTACCTGCTTAACTGAGCATGATCCTTGCTGAAGGGTGGTTCCATTTGAAGATCCAATTCTGCTTTGCATTGAGAATATAATGTTCTAAACACTTCAATCAGAACATCTTCTAGAATTACAGGTCCTAAAATAATAATATACAAATTAAAGACAGTAATTAATTAACAATGGCAAACCTTGATTATCTGGAAATTGGCCCAATTAAAAGATGATTTAAAGCAAATATTTTTAAAAAATTTATATTCAGAGACTAAAGTTAACTTCACAATTTGAGAAACTTGTTAACAAATAATGGAACATATGTCTATTTAAAGTATAGATTCACATATAAGAGAAACGACAGAACCAAGACAACTAGTTTGGTCAGTTAATAGTTCTGTTTACTTGGATAAGTTATTTAACTTCTTAGAGCTTTAGTTTCCTCATTCTGAATAAGGATAATAAATACCAAACTTAGAAGGCAGTTTTAAGAATTAGGAAAAATATTTATATATTAAGGGGTATCGGGCTACTCCTTTGTAAGGTACAAGCATAGCTCCCCAAATATATTTTTTATTTAGTAAATATTACTGGCATTACTACTATTACTTAAATAATTGTAAAATACATAAAGCTAAATTTTATTGCTATAACACATGCCAATTTCCTTTAAAATTTTTTCTCAGCTTCATTATAATACCTAAAATGTAAAACTTCTAAAGCCATTGATTGAACTTATTATTTTTATATTTTAAAGTATCATTTTTCACTTTGAGACTTGATGAGTTTTGTCATATTTGCTAAAACAGCTGTATGTAATTTGAAGAAATTACACACTTTCTTATTTCATTATTTATAATACTTATATTTTTATTAATTTCTGTCTCAAATATAATAATTAACTTTCCAATAGATCTAAAATATAACAAACATACAGTGAAGAAATGGACAACAGAATAAAAAGCATCGTGGGGAAGAGGAGAAATATAATAAAAATATTTCTTCTTCAGTCCTTGAATTTTATGAACTACCAGTTAGTTACAATAGATCAGAAATTATTCAATTTCAGTTATTTAATAAGGATTAAGAAGAACTTAGATAACATCTTGAAATCATGACTCTTCTGCTACATATGCAGCAAAAAGTACTAGGTCTGATGATAACATACAGGCTTATGCATACTTGTAATCTCTTAACTTTGAAGAGTGAACTTTAGAAAAAAAAATTTGAGAACTTGTATTTAAAAGCCACCTCAAAATACTGCAATTTTCCTGTGGGGTGTGGTGGCACATGCTTGTAATCCCAGAGACTCAGGAGGCTAAGGCAGGAGGACCATAAGTTCAAAGACAGTCTTAGCAACTCAGTAAGGTCCTAATCAACTTAGTGAGACTCTGTCTCAAAATAAAAAAATAAAAACAAATATAGCAATTTTCCTAATGACTTTGTCTTAATTTTATTTTGAAGCAATATAAAACTACCACATGTCATCTTTAAGCAGCAGTATATATTACCTAGCTCAGGTTTGTCCAGCAAACTGATTAAAATACGAAAAGGTTTTAGATCCTGCATTAGAGTGCTCTCTTCTCCAAATCCATTCACTTGTAAGATTCCCACCATTGCCTTTAAAACAGAAAAGTACACTAGTCATTTAGTAACAGAAAATTTTTAAAGAAAAAATATTTTAAAATATAACCACATGTAATGGAGATTTATATATCTTCCTGCTTTTGTGATACCTTCTTCCTCTGACAGGAAGAAAAATGCTATTTTCATCTCTCTGGAGAGAAGAAAACAGTGGTTATATTTTCTCTAGGAAAAAAAGTAAAAGAGTCAAAGATAATCAAGAAAGACATATTCATGAGTTGAGTGTTTGCCCTCCAAATAAAATGTTTCTTTTTAAGATCATGATCTCCAAACTAGGCCCTGTCATCATGGCATTATCTGCTGTTACACAATTATTTTGCCATTAGTGACTCAAAACTCAGCATATAACCTCATTAAAATGCTTCAGATATCATGAATTTTCTCAGTTTGAGATATCTCTAATACATAAAACTTAAATAAAATTAATATGAAACAAATCTATGAATCATTTTAACTTTCCATTATAGTGGCAATTTTGCCACATTTAGATTCCTGTTACAGCCCAAATTTCCTGAGGCTTTTTAGAAAATAATACAGGTCTTAGCCTACTTTTGGAAAAGCTCCAACTTTCAGAGGCAGAAAGGTGAGAGGATGCAACTATCTTTTAAAAGTTATGAAAACAACAAAATAAGGAGACAAAAAACCTTTGGCCTTATATGACAGTCTAGCTTATGATTACTGATTTTATTGTAGCATTATCTCATTATAGTCTCATTATAGTCTATTAGATTATTCATAGGAAGTATCTGAGTCTTGTCTCTGCCCCTTCAACTATGTATTCAATTAAGCAAGATTTGTCTGATTTTTTTTTTTTTTAAGTAACTTTAGTGGTTATTGAGTAAGCAAAGAACAATGAAAGCACTTATTACCTGGACCAACAATTCTTTTGAAAAGGTAGTGAAATAGTAAGTGGCATGTTCTTCAGGATTACTGTGTCTTGTGCTTCTGGGTCCTATGATAGCACCGTTGTTATCAAAACCTCCATGAAAATAAATCACAAAATGAATTAAAATGAAATTCTCAAAACTGTTGCTTACTAAACACCAAAACAGCAAATATCTCAAAAATAGCACTAAGCACTTACCAATTAGTAGCCCATTCAATGTCAGCAAGAGAGATCATTTTAGATAGTTTAATAAAGGAAAACCAATTCAATATATAAATTTGATAATATTCTTCCAGAATTATCCTGTCCACCCCCCAAAAAAATTTTTACTGAGATTGAAATAACTGAAGACTCACAATATCTAATATAATTAAAATTATGGGCTCTCATTCCAAGCAGTAAGTTGTGTGGACAGGCCAAAAATTCACAGAAAGTGTAGAAGATCAAAGAGTATGTTTTATTGCCTGATTGGGAGACTGATACCATATGTGAGATATTGGTATTTACTAGTCCTTTAATGACTTGAACATTTTAAAAATTTTGTTATCATATTGATTATTGATTCAAATAGCCTCTTTAACTAAGAAGCTTCTGAAATTTCTTCATATGATACACCAATGATAGTTCTTTTTTTTTTTTTTTTTAATTGTGCACTTACAAGAAAAACTTGTAGTTTTTTTCACTTGGGACATATATACAATTTAATAATACTTATAAATGGCAAATCTCCTTTCACCTTTCCCCAAATATGACCACAAACATCAAATACGTACCAAGAAGCCATGCATAAAGTCTTCTGTTCAGGGACATATCCCTCCTTAGTACTACATGAAGGGCTGCTGACAAAATCCTGATCATATCTGGTCGAGTAGCCTGAAAAAGTTTGAAATGTGGTTGTATTTAATCATATATAGAAGTATATCAGTGTTTTTCTTCCTTAAAAAAATGTTCTGAGCATTAGGATGTACAAAGTATTCTCATATAACATTATTTCATTTGGTCTTTCAAACACAGGAATTGTTACTTCCATTTTACAGATTAGAAAAAAGGAAGAAATTTAGGAAGCATCATTGTTTAGTTTTTTAACTGAAACCACAATGGAAAATTAGCAAAATCTAACACAAAACAGGGGAAATAAAGCAAGATGGGAGACTGACAAGAAAATCACATGCCAATTAGTGTCGTCAACTAACTCCTTAGAACGTCACTGCCTTCATCAATTCTATGATCTTTATTTCTTATTTTCAAAAATTCTACTTGTAATATTTCAAACATACAAAAATACAGAAAACAATATAATGAACCTTCTTTGCAACCAATCATCAAGGTTTAACCAATTTTAATATTTTTTCATTTTTCCCAGATTTTAAATAATTCTTATCCCTCTTTCCCAGAGCCATAAAAAATGATGAAAGGAGATGTGACTTCAACTAAAAGAGTAAAAAGTTGAAAAATATATGGAAGTCAGATAATGACTTTGCTGTTAATTTTTTGAATATTACTATATAATTACTTTAGAATAGAATCTTTGAATTAGAAGGTAATTTAGAAATTGGCTAGTTTAACATTCACTCTATAAATCAAGGATTGGAGCTTCCCAGGGGCCAAGTGCTTAGCCAAATTCAAATGTCTGGTTAGTGTCACTGACGCATAGACCAGTGAATTGTTTCCTATCCCATGCTTCCTGAACTGGAAATAACTGAGATGTTACAGAACATATACCATTAACAGTTATTGTTACTCCTTTGAAAACAAATCTTCAAATGATCTATGTAACTTTCAAAGTATCCCTGGGCCCTTGGGAATCTCTAAGACTATTTCATTTCAGTAAGCCAACGAGGTATTTATATTCATACATAATCAATGAAGCTACACATACTTAGAACAACATCAAGATGTTACTTGCTTTTTTTTGCTTTTGGTGTGGACATTTGCCCTGATCACGCAATAAGTAGGTTAAACAACTGGCACTCTTAGTATTAAAAAAAAAAGTACAGTAGCATTCACCCAACTTGTAATCATCATATGTTTAATGTCATATTCTTAGAGTAAAGTCAAAAACAAAAACAGCAAAGTAGGCTCATTGTGTAGCTCAATGGTGAACATCATTACCATCATCAAGGCCCCAGCATGCATGTATAAACATGCAAAAGCCATTTTAATAATTCTTTAAGAATGTTGTTAATGAAACAGCAAATATTTGTTTCATTAAATATTGACCCTTGAGTATATCTTTTAATATTCTGTTTAATGAAATGTGAAATACACATAAAGCACTTAAGTATGATACTTGTCTCAAGGACAAGCTTTGTGAAATTAAGTATTGTGAACTAAACTACCAACTTTTTCACAGAATACCATTTTTAACTGGAAGAATGACTAACCTACACATGATGAGTATTTAGAATTTGTCATTTGGCAGTCATTTTTCAAAAGTGATACAGTCACTTCAAGGAAAATAATTAAGCTACAAACAATAAAATTTGAGATTATATGAGAAAACTCAGAATTTTATAAAACTTGTATTTATGTTGAAGTTGTATTGTTTTGAAATGAAGTGGTTTGAAAGCTTTCCATTATTGGGCTCAAAAGTTTCACAATACCTAAAATGTCTACTGACAAGATTAATAGTAACAGCAATAAGTATAATTGATATTATATAATGAAATATGTCCACATTTGGAATGTCTGAATAATTCTGTAAACTAGGATTTTCTAAACAAGCAATCATGATGTTACAAACAGATATATGAGTAAATGTTCCAATGAAAGTGCAAGATAGACAAGTGAATTTCAATGAAACAGAGTATGTTGGCAGGTGTGGCGGCACATGTCTGTAATCCCTGATGCTTGGGAGGCTGAAGCAGGAGGATTGCAAGTTCAAAGCCAGTCTCAGCAACTTGGTGAGGCCCTAACAACTTAGTGAGATCCTATCTCAAAATAAAAAAATAAAAAGGGCTAGGGATGGATGTGCCTTAGTGGTTAAGTATCCTTGAGTTCAACCCCTGGTACCAAAACAAACAAACAAACAACAACAAAAACCAGAATCTGTAAAGTTCATTGATAGTTTTAGACTCCATTCGTAATAATTTTTAAAAGCTATAGTTTCTCAAATTTTGGTGTAATATCAAAGAATATGCAACTTTAAAAGGATACTATTGAAGTACTCCTTGCTTTTTTTTTTTCTTTTTGGTACTGGACATTGAACCCAGGGCATTTAATCACTGAGCAACATCCCCAGCCTTTTAAAAAAAATTTAGAGACAGGGTCTCAATAAGTTGTTGAGGCTGGCTTTAAACCTGTGATTCTCCTGCCTCAGCCTCCTGAACCACTGGCATATGCCATTGTGCCTGGCTACTCCTTGCTTTTCTAACTACATATCAATGTGAGAGCAGATTTTTCTTCATATACTTCAAACAAAGGAATTTATATCACAGAAGCAGGTATAAACTTTCTGCTTTGTGCTTTTAGGCCAGATATTAAATAAACTGGCAACAAATATGAAACAATGCTTCTCATTAAGTTTTTTTTTATATGTGGGAACATACTTTCAAAAACTGTTATGCTAGTATAATAACATTGTTATTGCTATTTTAAAATAAGTTAATGAATATTTTTAATTTTCCCGTTTTAATTTTTAACATAAATACAGATAGCTCTAGCATATATAAGCAAAAGATATTTAGAATCCTCAATATTTTTTTTTTAGTATAATGGGGTACTGTAATCAAAGCATTTGAGAACTGATGATTTGTCTATTCAACATCAGATATGTGGTTTATGGATATTCTCACAACATTTTTTAAAAGCACATTTCCCAATCTTATTTGGGGAAAAAAAACTACTCTTAACAAAGCAAGAAGTAGTAGATGTTTGTCAAAGGATACAAAATTTCAGTTAGACTGGAGGAAAAATTTCAAGAAAACTACTGTAGGACATGGTTACTACAGTTAGCAACAATGTATTATATTTTTGAAAATTGAATAACAATGTATCATATTTTTCAAAATCACTAAGAAGATTTTAAAAGGTCTCAATACAGATAATGTTAAGGATATGAACTAATAAATTCATGAATTACTTTGCTTTAGACATCCTATAATGCTGGGAGCCATTAGCCAAGTAGGTATGACAATTTCCTTGCCAGC